AGAGTCCACAGCACATTCAAACGACCTTTTATGAAATTCAGATGATTCCTGTGGAAAGTTCACAGTTAAGACTAATTAGTAAGCTGTACAGAAAATCTGAATCACAACACATACATTACTCACGTAGAATCAGAAACTAAGAACAGTAAAATAAGCCAAATGAACACAATACTAACAACCAACCTACTTATTAAAAATGATTATGAAAAGTTAGCATATATATGATACAGTGAAGTGTTAGGACAAAGAAACCTTCAGATCCAGAAGCATAGTTTCAATCTTATCAGCCTCAGACTGTGGAATCAAATCTTCTTCCATTCCCGTATTAATTACAGGCACCCTCTGAAATTGAGATCGACCTGCTAATCCGTATACTTTGTGAATGCTTTTAGGCATTTGAGGATACACGGCATCCCCAGACTGAAAGGAAGGACTTGGATTCCGTAGAACCCTGACAGCTTTACCAGCAAAAAGAATTGATTCTGCAACACGCATAGGTATATATTCTGGCAGCATATCCTGCAAAACAAGATCGAAAATAATTCAAACAGAAATAAATTGCCAAATTTCAGGAACTCTTGTTTCTCATGGATATAGTTGACTTGGAAAAAATAATGAAATGTATCCTGACAATTTAAGGTAAACAAAAATAAGAATTCCCCTTATTAAACTAGAAAAAGTTCTCATTCAAAGAATGAGATGCAGAATTCCATTAGTTAAAGTCATGTCATGGTGTGTTATGAATTAGTTAATAATAAGAGCAATTACCAAACAAATATGGAAGCCTAAGTGCCAATCAGTTAAAGATACATCGTCAGTCGACAAGCGAGCCAACTTTTCAGAGATGTCTGGATGAGATGAGCTATTCTCTACATCTCTATCTTCTTGCCTGAAAAGCAAATGAATCAGGTCTAGTATATAGTTAACAAAGGAGTTGCAAATATCGGATTTCATTACCTGAGAAATCAGAAATCATCAATGTTATCTAAACAAAGTTTTAGAAAAGCAGAGAGGAAAGACTACGTTTGTTTTCCTGTACCAAACATGTGCCATATGATTTACCCACATTTTTTTCTTCTTGTTTTGAGGGGAGAGGGTGAAGGTGGAAAAAAATACTACATTGATTTAAGGCATAATTTCAAACTCTATTTGTCTTAATCAGACACTTTTCTCCTTTCTACCCTTTTGCTAATAAGTTCTCTCTTGAGTGCACAAAAAATGAATAAAATAAGTATGCATTGTTTAGTTGTCGCCAAATCATGGTGACAATATCAAACTAGTATATTACATAAACTTAGATTTAATGAGGCTATGTTAGTTTTGATAACTAATAACTGTAATAATTGCTAATAATCATTCTTTATATAAAATTTATGAGTATGATACATCAACTATGGAATTATTTTCAAAAGGGCCTTCAAAATGTTTCGAACTCTCAGATGATAAATGGAAACTGTATTTCTTATGATATTCGCCATACTTGAAATGCAGCTCCCAAAACACCATTGCTTCAGTGTACCACTATAATTGTGATTTATGACACGAGACACAAGATACGCATACACACGCGTAGAGAGACGTGCATGCATATCGGCAATATACACACTGAAAAAGAATATTAAGTTACCTTGTAATGAAGAACTCCCCGTGCTGGTCTTGAAGAATCCCATAAACCATCCATGATGCAAGCTGGTTATACATGACCTGATGCCCATGCCAAAGAAGCCTAAGCTTCGGACAAGAATAGAACAAAATTAGCAGTGAGTGTCACCAGAAGGTTAGTACAAAAAGCTTAGCATATTAGAGACCATAATAAACAAATTGATCCCCAAATAAATCCTTTATTAACCTACATCCAATCCCAACATGATAGTGTTTTGATATTTTTTCATCACTCTTATAGTTCTTTTTGCAACATTAAAATATTCATGACTTAAAACTATAAATTTTAATTGACAAATACAATCCCAAAAGGTACACATGACACAACGTGCATATAACAATACTAAGACTATAGTTCATGAAAAGAACCTCATACCTCTGTATGCAAGTCTGTAATTCAGGCACTCCACAATGGTATCTTTTATATAGAAGATTAAGAAGTTGCCCGCCACGAATATCATCATGCTCGATCTCTAGGATGAGCTCATATAAAGGTGGCAGAAGGGAGAAAAACTGCAAAGCAGACCAAAAAACAAAGTTTATATCAAAATGAACATAGACAACAGGCTAGCATTGGACACAATAAAGGTTACAGCAAAATTAACCTTGTTAAGTCCTTGAGTAACTGTTGCCAATATGGGCATGGTTTCAGACAACAACAACTGCTCAATGTGCAAAACCGCGGACCTATAAACTGAGAGAATCTCAACAATGCCATTTGCCAAAGCCCTACGATAAACACTGGGATTCTCCCTTTTCCCCTCTGGCATACCAGAAACAGTTCCTAAAGGGTTTGCAATTTCATTTGAAGACCTAATCCAGCTTAAATTCCTAGACTTTGCTGAAAACCGATCCAGCTCCCTATAATAAAACCCCAATGCAATGATTTTCTCGATAAGTTCCCTGCAAGTTGCAAGTTTGTTATAACAATTAGAACTTTTGCAACATGCCCATAAAACAAAAGTAATAATACATTGGAAAAAACCCTACAAATGTGAAGGAAATGTTAGTTACAATTATTGGGGTTTTGAAAGAACAAAAAACTTAAAAACCCAAATGCGAGTATCCTCTCAATAAGTTCCCTACAAGTTGCGATTTTGTTATAGCAAGTTTCAATTTTGAAACATGCCCAGAAAATATAAAACCAAGATACACTGAAACAAGCCCTACAAAGTGAAGGAATTGTTAGGGGCTTGGAAAAGATTGAGATTTTAGTGAGAACCTGTCGCTTGGGTCAATAAAATCGATGTTGGGAGCGAGCTTGAAAGTGCATTCATCAGAGATTGGGGTTTGAGAAGAGAGGGTTTCACTCTCTCTTGTATCGATGATTAAGTCACCAGTGTAGCCAAGTAACGATAGCAGAAGCTCGTGCAACATTGTTATTGAATATTGATAAGAGAATATGAAAATGATAATGAAATGTTGAAGAATGAGAAAATTGGGATACTTCGTGTAAGCAAATGTTAGATTAGATCACACACAAAAAGGTGAAAAGGAGAATGAATGATTTCAACGATGGTTGCGCCTTCTGAACTCCGACGAGAGTCCAACGTGAAATTTGCACATTTTTTTCTTCTGCGAACGGCGTAATTGATTTAAATTTAAATATAAAGAATTTTGTTAAAAAGTTGTATAGTAACTTTTTATGTATTAATACTAGGCATTTAATCGAGTTAAATGTTCTGACAGTCTAATGTTTTTTTTATATTCTCAATTCCTTAAATTTTAATACTTAAGATTATATATAGATTAAGAAATGATAATGATGTAATTAACTTGAATATCATGCTCTCATTTAATCATTTTCTATTTCTCATAATTGAAATACAGAAGTTTGAAGTGAAACGAATATAAAAAATAATAGTATTTTTGAAATATGATATATAATTGACTTAGTTTTCTATAAACCAAGATTTTTGACATAAAATGCCAAAATATTAATCTTTAAAAAAATGAATGAGTATCCTATAACACACATGAGTAAAAAAACATTGAAGTTACTTCCTTTAAATAAATTTGTTGAAAAAAACAATTATGTAATGAAAATGATTAATATCTTAATTATAAGAATAAAGACGTTGTAACTCGATTTTTGGTTAGCACTGTTTTTTTCAAGACTTAAGAAGAGATATAAAGGAAATTCCACCATTTTCCAAAAGATTTGTAATCATTACTATATCTTTTATGAACAAAATGTAGAAAAAAATTCTATACTTAATTTAGTCTTTTACATAGTTCTGAACTCTTGAATTGATTACATATTAAAGAATATATTACCACACTGCCCTCATGTATCAAAATGATATCATCTCTAATTACATCAACTATATTATATTTGTTTGTTTATTTCTTTTTATTTTTATTTTGGCAAAAGTTTATGTTACTTATATATAGGAAATAAAACTTTGGTAATTGTTGGCTATAAAGCTGCTTGAATATATTTTAATTGTTTTAAGCATGCATCATTTCATGTCTAAAATCAGTATTAAGTGCTGTCACAGTTGAAGTCCTTTTAGCACTTTGTTTACTTTCAAAATAAAAATGTTTAAAAAACAAATCGTCCAAGTCCATGAAAAACTCTGTTTTTCCAACTAACTAAGATGCCTATTGGGATGATTTTTCGTGCAAATAATGTATAGACATTAGGACATTGAGTAAAACTGTATAATAGTTCCCTCCTTCAATTGCCTTAGTCATCATTGAGTAAAAGTAGCATCAAGTATTTTTTTTGGATATTATTTGATCTCAAGTTTAAATTTAATAAATGTTGCTTGCTTAGTCTCAACTTTAGCCTACTTTCCACATTAAAAAAAGAAAGTTGAAACAATATTTAGGAAGCATAAGAACAGTTTAATTTTAAGCCTCTTTATTATGTTATTCATCATTTCAGATTACACTACAAGTTTTGCTCTTCCAAACTTCAATGAATTCTTGTATCACACTCCATTGCTAAAAGGTGTCCAAAATGAGGAGAGTGTCCTTTGGTCCAGTTTCAAACTACAAGTAAAATAACATTAAAAAAAGGTGAATGTAATCATAGTTCATAAATCATATACCTAAATATTCATGCTGATCACAATACATGGTATTAGAATATTAATAACTCAGTTTATAAAATATGAATTGTCCAATTCATTATAGCTTACACAGTGCACACGCTATCTCAGTCTTGAAATGATAATTCTTTTCACCCTTTTCTCTCTTTATGCATACAGTTATTAGAGACCAAGTAATATATGTCAATAATATGTAACTCAGGAAAAAAGATAGAAGGAAAAACAATGCATTACCTCAAGGAGTGATAAAGTGAGTTAAGAGAATAGGCAAATCAAGGTGAGGAACCCATGTTGGAGAAGGGGAGCACGTGCAAAGAATTCAATGGCAAAGAAGAAAAGGCAAGAGAATTGCACGTGCCCTGCTTCTCCAACAAGGAGCTTTCTCACCAATTGAGTATGACGAGGAAGATAGTGGAATTGGTTGAGGTAGACGTAGGAAAAGGTGAGGGTATTTATAGGTCTCACCTTTAGAGACATAGAGTGAGATTGTAAGGAGTAAGACTCCTATCCATTAATGGAGAGATAAGTACAAAAAAAATCAAATAAAGTAAAAGATGCAATGTCACTTTTGTCATTTATATTTAAAAGATGATTACACATTTACCCTTATAATACACATAAAAAATTCACTTGTCTCTCCATTAATGGAGAAGAGTCCTACTCGATTGTAAGATAGACAAAGGAAAAATATTAATATAACTAGTAGTAAGTAATGTGGAGTAAGACTCCTCTCCATTAATTGAGAGATAAGTGATTTTGTTATTTGTATTGTAATGGTAAATATGTAATTTTCTTTTAAATAAAAAAGACAAAAGTGACATTACATCTTCCACTTTTTTTGATTTTTTGAGTACTTATCTCTCCATTAATGGAGAGGAGTCTTACTCAGTAATGTGACAGGAGCAATGAGTAAAGTGAAGCAATGCTTATGGCTAATAAGATCTTCTCCATTAATATAAAGATACATATTTGTTTTTCCTCATGTTTTCAATCACAAAAGTGTGATTTTATAGTAAATAAAAAGATAAAAGTATCATTAAATATTATATTTTGTTTATTATTATATGTCACTTAGACTCTCCATTAATGAAGAAGATTCTTACTCATGCTTATGTCATGACATGCCATCACGCCTGAGTACTATGCACAGAAATTCAAACAAGGGCATATTCAAGGTAACCCAATTTCAGTCTTGTCTGCCTTAATTTCATAAACATTAATTAAAAACTCACCAACTCCTTTGTTCATTGCAGCAAACAAGAGTAGAACTAGCCCTCTCATGAGTCCATTTACCCTCTAGTATAAGATTTCCCTTAGCAACATAGTGGCTTATGAAAAACTTGGCTTATAAGCTTTGACAAGTTAATTGGAGTAACTTAAAACTTACAAGTCAATGTGTCTTATAAACTCTTTTATAACATCTTATACCAATCATAAATTGATTAACCGGTTTTACTTACGACTTTCAATTCAATCAACTTTTTTATATATATAAATGTTAGCATGTTAGTATTTTATGGTGGATGAATTTGAATCATCAACCTCCTTATCACTCCACACCTTAAGTCTTCCACCCTTATCCCTCCTTCAATTTAATCAACTAAATGATTTGTATAAAATTATTACATTCTCTCAATTTTTTTATATTCTAATATAACTCCACTCTCAAATTTCAATGGAAAGACCATGATTTCTTATTTGATGTCAAAAAGTTATATTGTAGAAAAATGTATGAGTGCACGTAGGGTTTGCGTGTTGAGTGCAAAATTTAGAGTAATGGCATGTGTGTATGTGATAGTTTTAGAAAAAGTTGAGAAGCTCCCTAGGTTGATATGATTCCCTATATGTAATAGGTACTTACCTTTTCTCCCAAAGTTTTGGCTGGTTAAGCATAGGGTATAGACTACAAGAATTTCAATGGAGTAACTTAAATACCTAAACACTGCCCGTGAACAACGGATTTTACCTTATAAGGCACCATGTGAAATATGGGCAATCTCATATATATAGCTAGGGTAGGGTGATTTTATTGTTAATTTAGTAAGTTGCTATTTGCTTATGGAGTAGGACTCATCTCCATTAATGGAGAGACAAATGAGTTTTTTATGTGAATTATTAGGGTAAAGATGTAATCATCTTTTAAATAAAAAGGGAAAAAGTGATATTGCATCTTCCAATTTTTTTTGAGTTTTTTGGGTATTTGTCTCTCCATTAATGGAGATGAGTCTTACTCTTACTCATGATTTAAGTTGAAGTGTATTATATTAGTTTACTAAAATTTAATGGTGAATATGTCCTTATCCATTTGTTTCAGAGACAGGTTTAAAATAACTTTTTATCTCATCTTATTGATTGTATATAGGCAAGTTTTTCTTCTTATTCAACAAGCTTAAGTTGTAGCTACTTCAAAGTCAATGGCCAACCACATAGCCATAAGTGATAAACATATTCCATTCCTTGTATGTTTGGTATGAGGGTGAAAAATTCATTAATATGTTTCATTCATAAATTATGGGGTTTCATAGGAAAGGAATATATTTTTCATAGGAAAATATGAAGTTAAATAAATAAAATATTCATCTAAATATTTCCCAATGCAATATAATTATTTTAGTCTCTTAAAATCACCTTTATTGTCTGTGAATAACAAAATCTATAAATTATATTAAAAACCTATACATCAAAATTTTACCTTTACTTTAACACTCATACCAAACAAACAAATAATGTTACACTCTAGTACTCCATAGTTCATTAAAGTTAAGTGGGATAGGTCAAGAGAAAAATGTATGAAATATAAGAATATTAGATAATGGGTTAAGATATTGATGCCCTTCAACTAATTTAAGGTTTAAATGTCTGTTAGTTTTTTTCATGTATTTCATGAAATAATACCAATGTATAAACATTAAAAATGCTGTAATATATTATGTGTGCACAATTCACCTCTGATCCGTACTAAGGCGATCATCATATGTTGAGATCAGATTTCAACTTGTTTCTTGCACAACAAGTTCCAACCTTTATTACCAATATAATTGATAAATGGTCTAAAGCTATGACAAAAAACTATAAGAATCCCATGATGTATCCCCTTTACAACCCCCTTTTTGATAGGGTTGTTCCCTTCTTACAGGGAAGAGTAATGATATATTGCAAAATCTAGTGAATAGCACGCTGAGAACCTGTGCCGTGCAGCAATGGTTCAAATCCTAGTTCAGTTTCTACATAGGCCACACTTATGCACACCCATCATTACTCTTTTGCTGTATCCTTCACTATTGCCATACCAATTTAATTATGCACAAAGGTTCAATTCAAAGGCAAAATGTAAATGTAATACTGCTTCTATGTCATAGTACATTAAAGAACATATAAGGTCCATACAGGTAATTAAGGGTGATGTTTTAATGTTATTTAAAGAATGATTTGGTTGGAGAAGTTATGGGGTTTTTATTTTTAAAAAAAATAAGGGTCATGGTATGCTCTATCTTGTGGAAGAAGAACATAGATTCTGGATGAGGACATTTATCAAATCTAAGGACATTAATATTGGCGTGTGCCACATGCACTTGGTATGTAGTAAATGCTTTATTTGGTTAGGCACTCTTACTATTAAAAGGCTTTTGAAATTCAATCATACACCCAACTAACTAAATTTCAACAGCACTTGATGCATATGTTTGACTATGCTTCAGACAAAGGAACAGCAACAAAACAAAAGGCGTTTCCTTCTTTTTTTGCCCATTAGATTTGGGAAATTAATCAAAGGTTATAAATCCTTTTAACATTTGCTCAAACCCGAAACCAATTACATGTGAATAAAAAATGGCTATGTGGTAGAAAATAAATGTGAAGTATCCTGCACACTCAAAAAGTGAAGTATCAAGTATCAACTATAAAGTCATGGGCATCATCAATAAGCTTCTCTGCTAATTAAAATTATTCTTCTTGTGCGTCCCTTTAGGCCTGAATTGTATTTGGGCTTTCCTAGGGGAATTATGAGCCCGTCCATAATGGGCTTTTCAGCTTCTTCATTGATTGGCCCAAAATCGGTTGAATTGAAAAATGCTAAGAAGAGAGTAGCTTGGACAAATAAGTTGTAACAGATATGTTAGCATGTTGAAATTAATCTCTTATACATGAGTTAAGGAATGTGGAACTGATAAAATTGAACAAATTGGTGAATTGTACAATTAATTTGCAATGTAAAATGGTGAGAAGATAAAATAACTGACGTGGAAAGCTAAAAAAACAAGAAAGCTAAATAAGCATATCTTAAATCTATTTAATTCGCCATACTAAGTTACTCTATTGCTGAGAAAATGAACAGCTGAAGTTATTTTGTTGTTGAAGGGCACAAATTAACAAATCACCTTATATAAAAAAACAGAAATACAACACTATGTTGTAATAATTTATAACATGATTTTTATATTCTTTTTCATTTATGAATGAGTATAATTGTAATTGGTAAATTAAATTACCGATTTCACATAAATATCACATCACAATACTCACCTTATATAAGTATTACTATTAATTCATTTTTTTTCCACAAAACTTCCGTCTTGGTTAGTCTCATTGTCATTAAACACGTTCATAATATCTTATAGGATGCGGCCACGTCGACAGAGTCATGGACATGCCATCAGTGTGAAGTTTGCACTTGTTCAAATTGTGGCGTCAGAAAATTAAGAGAGCAAAACCAAAAAAATAATACGTTAGTGAATGCATGATCATGCAAAATAGAGTCGACGTCTTTTATTCTTTTTTTATACTTTATTTCTGACGCTAGTTTGAATTACGAAGTTTTAAAAATTTAACTAATTTACAGATGATCCAGTAAATTAAAATATATTCTCTTTGTAAAAAGATTGACAAAAAATAGAATAAAAAAGAGTTGACTTTTTAGGTCATACACTAATATCTCTGGAAGATATTATTATTATTTATTGTCCTAAGAATTGAAGGGTTTTCTTAACTTCAGCCTTAAGCGGAGGATAAAGAACTAAAGGTGAATACCTTTTGTTGTAAAAAAAAAAGACATTACTTAAAAATATTAATGTATATAAAAAATTGAGAAATATGATAGAAAAGTAGCAAAACTAAAAACTTTTAGAGGATATAATAACACTAAATATACGGTGGAGGTTAAAGAGAATGCAAAACTTGAGAGCATGAGCATAATTGAAGAGCCAATATAGCATAAGTATGGGACCACATAATTAGGAATTATGAAGGTTCCGAAAACCAAGTAGCCAACCACATAAGAATATGTCCATTTGGATTGGGAAGTTCTCCATTGACCATTACTTTCCTTTCGCATATAATCATGCCCAAATGCCACTAATCAATAGGTTGACCAAGCTTGAAGTGT